TGTTTCGACCAAAGATCACCATTATTGTTTAGAATTCCCCCCCCCCCCCAACAATCAGAATTGCTGAAAAGGCATTGTGAAATACTTTGTTTTCTATAACTGGTTATGAGAATCATATAATGTCATGCGGCCACGATTTTGGATTTCTACAAAAGAGCCAGATAATTACGAGATTGGTTTCTGTGCGTCTGGTGTTATGGCTGTGCCGGAGAGCCGCTCGTGGGGGGCAACTCATGACCTCAGCAGGGTGTGAAGGACGAGCCAGTACCGCCCCCTTCCCATGAGACTGCAGTTGCCCCATCACTGCCAGCTCATACCTGGTTTTCCTATAAGCTCTGAGGCGGCGGCCACCTTGCTGCCGGGCGGGAAAAAGGCTGAAGGGAACAACACCCTTTCCCTCCTGGGGAGGCATGGCACTGTAGTTTAATGCGTGGTCCATTCACTTTTCTGCCGCCAGCTGCTGGGCTCTGGATTAAGTCCTTTTGCCTCTGGATCCATAGCCGTGCCAGAGAGCTGCTTGTGGGGGGCAACTCGTGACCTTGGTAGGGCGGATCACCATTTCTTTTGAGGAGCCGAAGATTCTTATATCCAAGGTCAGGGAAAACAGGGGCTAGGAGGATGGATCAACGGTTGGCAGCTACCACAGGTATGTTCAGGGGGGAGGGGGGATGGAGGGAAGTTAAGATAGAGAAGGGATCAGCATGACAGTAATAGTTGGAAATGACCACTTTGGACAGGAACTCAGTGTTGAAAGTAGGTAAAGGGATAGACATGATGACCTTTCAGTATCTGTATTGCAAAGCATAATGCCCAAAGGAAAGTGAGAGAGAAAGGAGAGAGAGAGAGAGAGAGAGAGAGAGAGAGAGAGAGAGAGAGAGAGAGAGAGAGTCTGACACAGAGGCAGGCTGAGACCAGGGGTGAAGGGAAACTGGGAATATTGGTGGTGGGAAATGTACACTGGTGAAGGCATGGGGGACGGGTGTTGGAACATTATATGACTGAAACCCAATCATGAAAAAAAGGGGAAAAAATAGAGGAAAAAAATAAGGAAAAACAATTAACAGACACTTCTCCAAAGAAGACAGGTGAATATGAAAAAAATGTTCGCCATCTCTTTTCAGGAAAATCCAAATGAAGAAGGCAATGAGATACTACTGCACACCAGTGAGAACAGCATGTATCAGAAAGGACAGAACGTGGAAAGAAAAGAATTCTCAAGCACTGGTGTTGAGAATGTTGTTTCAACCCTACAGAAAACACTGTGGAGATTCCTCCAAGATTACTAAATAAATAAGAGCTACCGTATAATCAAACCATATGACTCAGAGATCCTGCTGTTCAGTATCTACCCACAAGACGCAAAAGCATTCCTTCCAAAAGTTCCATGCGCACCTATATTGATTGCAGTCCTTAGTATGTAACCTGGTTACGGAAACAACCTCGGTGTCCAAAGACAAGAAAGTAGATTACAAAGCTTTGGTGTCTTTACACAGGGGAAATACTACTCAGGGACACAAATGACGAAATCATGTCATTCACTGCAACGTGAGAGGAACTGGAGGATCTGACACCAAGTGACGCCGGAGGCCAAGGCTGAGCTGTTCTCACTAATTTGTGGTCTACAGGATAATTTATCTGGGGAGATTAGAGGGAGAAGAGGTGGGGGAAACACTGAGCCTAGGTTACAGCAACAAAATCGCCAAGGAGAGAGAGACATGCAGAGGAAGAGAGCAAGAGGAAGAGGATGGAAGTAACAGGGGAGCAAGGGTCAGGGCCCTGGGCCCGTCTGTGGTGTAGAGGCACGGACCTGAATAGATGGAAATCACTAGATCCAATGGGACCTAAACATGGGGCCTGAACTATAATGGCTACACTTAAAAATATCTCTGTTAAGGGGACAGGATGTGGGAGGGGGAATCTGGGGTCAGATATGGGGGGATGGGCCTCTGGTGGTGTGTAGGATGACCTTGCTTTGACATTGCTTCGTCCTTTCTCCCTTGCCACAAGGAGCTTAGGTTTATCAGGTTGCACCCATCACAGTGCTCCCGAGTCACTCCCACTCCTTTGTTTATCTGTAACCACTTCTCTCTGCTCTCCTCCCCAACCAGTTCATCAGCTTTTCCCCCTAATCAGACTCTATTAATTTGTAAGGTCAGATCCTTCTAGGACACTGAAATTGTATTGCAAGTTAATAATACTGCCTTTCTCCTCTCCTTATGCCTCTTGAATAGTTTACTTTAAAGCAATGTCCTTTTTGTATAGATGCAGGAAGACCGTTAATATTATGCTCTGTAATTTAGGATTTAATTGGCTTTGAATATTATTCACTCCCGGGCATCTGCTTTCTCGACTTAAGCCTCAGTTGTCCTTAGTTCCTAACATCCCAGAAGCAGGGTCCCAAAAAGGGACTGAATGGACTCAGGGCAAGCGGTGAACTACCCTGGCATAGAAATGGGCCAGGCCAAAGTGCCACGATTCTTAACTATAAGTTAAGAGCTTGATCATAGACAAATGCTGTCATGATCCAAAAGTAACGAGGAGACGAGGACCCAGCTAGGAATAGGAAAGACTATCTGGCCTGAGCACTGTAGCCTGAGATCGAGATGGCCCTAGGAGAGCAATTCTATAAGCTTAAGTGTTTCTTACTGTCACTGTCCTCCTGTTGTTCATCGATTTGCTCGAGTGGGCCCAGTAACGTCTCCATTGGAGACTTTGTTGTTACTGTGTCTGGCATATCGAATACGTCATGGGGAGCTTGCCAGGCTCTGCCGTGCGGGCGAGATACTCTCAGTAGCTTGCCGGGCTCTCCGAGAGGGGTGGAGGAATCGAACTTGGGTTGGCCATGTTGGCTGCGTGCAAGGCAAACGCCCTACCGCTGTGCTATCGCTCCAGCCCCATTTCTTACTGCATCCATACAAAATGATTTTAATATTATGAATGCTTATACGTTTGTTGGACAAGGATAGGAGAAACACACCCCTGGGATTCCGCTCTAAGGTGGGTCGACCTGCTAATGAGAATCTGTGCTAGAAGTGGCTTTCCCCGAGGGAAAGAACTCTACCCCTATTGATTGGGACCACACCTATACATAATAGTTACCCCAACCCCTCATGGTTTGGGGATTTAACTAGACTGGAAGAGTGGCTGGGGGATCAGGATCCAGACTCCAGCAGGAGAAGGAGAAAGGGGATCCAGAGGCCCGAACCAGAAGGAGAATGAAGGGGGATTGAGGAGGAGAATGAAGTAGCATCGGGGAGGAGAAGGCAGAGGAGAGACAGGAGTGAAAGGAAAGAGAGGATTGGAATAAACTACAACGAAGACCAACCAGCCTGGCCCTCGTTCCTTCCTTCACCTGCCCATCGCCATCGACCTCCCCAGGGTGGGGAACCGTAGTGGGACTATCGAACGCAGGCAGCGGGAGAGATAGACCACTGCCATCTTTTTGAGTTTACACATCTGGCACCCCTGGGTGCTGTCTTTTTTAATTTACACAGTGGAGGGATTGGAGGTGGGAATATTGTATGCCTGCAAGACTACTGTAAACTACTATATGTCTAAGTAAACGTTCAAAATGCAGCCAACAACCAATTATAGAGGGAAATATATATGCATATTTTTTCCAGATACATATACGAAAGTTTGCTCAACCTACTCAACCTTTAACAACATGTGAGTGATATCCTAAAGAAGGTCTTAATGGCTCCTTCCAAAATAGAACAACCTTCACACTGTTTCCTCTGTAGATATTTTTGTAGCATTTTCAGCGGTTTTTCATAACAAACAATAAAGGTAAAAGGTAAAGGCCCTCCCGTTGATCGTCGATTTGCTCGAGCGGGCCCAGTAACGCCTCCATTGGAGACTTGGTTGTTACTGTGTCTGGCATATCGAATACTCTCGGTAGCTTGCCGGGCTCTCCGAGAGGGGCAGAGGAATCGAATTCGGGTTGGCCATGTTGGCCGCTTGTAAGGCAAACGCCCTACCACTGTGCTATCGCTCCAGCCCACTAATAATAAGGTAAAAAAAAGGTAAAGGCCCTCCCGTTGATCGTCGATTTGCTCGAGCGGGCCCAGTAACGTCTCCATTGGAGACTTTGTTGTTACTGTGTCTGGCATATCGAATACTCTCGGTAGCTTGCCGGGCTCTCCGAGAGGGGCGGAGGAATCGAACTCGGGTCGGCCCTGTTGGCCGCTTGTAAGGCGAACGCCCTACCCGCTGTGCTATCACTCCAGCCCCATAACAAACAATACAAAATATATTATTTTGGTTGTGCTTTGGGACAGGGCTTGGGGCTTGGGGTGGAAACACCCCAAATATGGTGGTGGGATTGGTGTTTGAATATTAAATGTAATCAAATATTGTAAACTACCTTATAAAATAAAAAATTTTGAAAATAAAATAAAATGAAACGCAGCCTAAGAGGTCGATCAAACAAGTTCACGCACCCCCAGTTCTGACCTTCCCCAAGTAGGAACAACTCAGATGCTCATCAGTAAATCATCATTTTTTTTTTAATAACAGAGTGTATCAGTACACAGATACAGCGATGCCACTGAAAAAGCAAACAAGTCTGTCATGCTGATACTGTAAGAACATTGTTGAGTATCAAAGGGACTGTCTAGAACATTCTCGATAGTCACAAGCAAATTTAAACTGTTTCTGTCTCTAAGCACATCTATATGATGGTAAATGCAGACTGAGAACAGAAGGTGGAATCACTTCTGGGCACGGGGTAGAGAGTGAGAAAATCTAGGGGCTCCTGCTTCTTCCAGGGTGTCTAAAATCCCGAAGTGAAATTAAAGATTGCCACCGAGTAACGATGTGATTTTTAAAACTCCCCCAGAAGTTTAAAGTAATTTTTAAAGTCGGTCACACTTTTACTTCAAATACACCGCCTTATCATTGCATATCTTCACATATAATTCTTATTTGTGTATCTCTAAGGTCGAACATGAAGTTTCTGGATCTCGTAAGAGAAATGAACTTCTTGTCAAGAGCAAACGTTACTTCTGGGCTCCTTTTAGAAGGTTCTCCTTTTCCTCATGAATGCTTTTATAAATGCTCCATTTTTCATTGTAACCTCTTGGGAAGCGCCGGTATGTCGGGACCACTGGGGTTTCTCGGTAGCCGTACGATATTTGGTTATTGGAAAAGCTGTCCAGGCTGGACGGAACATAGTCACTAGCCCAGAGGTTGAAATTTTTTGATACTTGTTGCCTTTTCTCTGGGGAAATCTTCTTACGTCCCAGGCCCTAGGGAAGAATTACAGGAGGATTAGAACAAAAACACCCAAAGTCTCGCAGTTCTAAGATCTTTAAGTGAAAAACAGCTACCGGGCATGTTTCTCATACTGGAAGTAAAAGATTCAGTAATAGTAGGCTGAGTCCCTGCCCAACTGCAGTCCTGACAGCCACACCCACCCCAACAACCACCTAATAACTCCCCAGCTTCACCAAGAATCTTAGCAGACTCATCCCCGTTCTACAGATCCTAACACTTCTGGACCACGTGACACCTCCAAATTCCACAGTCGTGAAATTCCAGCAGGAACACACCAAATCATCACTGTCACTGTCCTCCCGTTGTTCATCGATTTTCTCGAGCGGGCCCAGTAACGTCTCCATTGTGAGACTTTGTTGTTACTGTGTTTGGCATATCGAGTACGTCACGGGGAGCTTGCCAGGCTCTGCCGTGCGGGCGAGATACTCTCGGTAGCTTGCCGGGCTCTCCGAGAGGGGCGGAGGAATCGAACCCGGCTCGGCCGGGCTGGCGGCATGCAAGGCAAACGCCCTACCCACTGTGCTATCGCTCCAGCCCACCAAATCATATGCAAAAGTAATATAGAATCCAACTAGCACTGTGCTGCAGCACTGTCCTGTTGTTCATCGATTTGCTCAAGCGGCCACCAGTAGTAATGTCTCCGTTGCGAGACTTATTGTTACTGTTTTTGGCATATCGAATATGCCATGGGGAGCTCGCCAGGCTCTGCCATGCGGGCAGGGTACTCTTGGTAGCTTGCTGGGCTCTCTGAGAGGGACGGAGGAATCGAACCCAGGTCGGCCGCGTGCAAGGCAAACGCCCTACCCGCTGTGCTATCGCTCCAGCCCCAGAAACCAACTAAATAAACAAAATCAGTAACACAGAAGGCTCAACCAACAAGGAGCAGCTTCATAAGTCCTCAGACAAAGACTTAATACCCTGTGGTTTCTCTACTTTCGGCACACATCTCCTATCCTGAGCGATCCCTCCAACCATCACTGACTTAGTGATAAAGGACTAAACGTGATGGCCTCTCAGTATCTATATTGCAAACCATGATGCCCATAAGTAGAAAGAGGGAAACTGTGTGCTACAGAGGCAGGGGGAGGGAAGGGATGGGGTGAGGGGCAGGGATACTGGGGACATTGGTGGTGGAAAATGTACACTGGTGGAGGGATGAATGTTCCATCATTGTATGACTGAAACTCAAACACTAAAGGTTTTTTTTTTTTGCTCTTTGGGTCACACCTGTCAATGCACAGGGGTTACTCCTGGTTCAGGCACTCAGGAATTACTCCTGGCGGTGCTCGGGGGACCATATGGGATGCTGGGAATCAAACCCGGGTCGGCCGCGTGCAAGGCAAACGCCCTACCCGATCTGCTATCACTCCAGCCTCAAACATGAAAGTTTTGTAACTGTAGCTCACGGTGATTCAATAAAAAGAAAAAAGAAAAAGAATAGATGGTTGATGAAGGAAAGGAAAATCGGAAGAGGCTCAGTTATCTGAGGCAAGTCATTGGACAATTTTGCGAATCTTTGAGATGAAATATCCTCCTTTGTGCTTGCTTTTGGACCGTTTCTAAGAAGTTAAGAATTATCTTCCACTGGAGAGGAGTCTTTTCCCTAAGTTATTTTTAGCTTTCAGGAAACCAGGGTTGTCAGTATGCCCTTTTGGCAGGACAAGATATCCTCACCAGCACAGTTCTTGGGTCCCGTAAACAGATCGGTTGAGGACACAGTGACCACGACTCATCAGAATGAACCACTTGCTGTTCACAGCTCACCTATGTGTTTCTCTACGTATTACCAGAGGGAATAAAAGTTTCACATTTCACAATGGAAAAAAAATAACCCTGTGGTGAGATATATCAATTTTCACAAATTTCCCTTTACTGAAGTATTTTTGATAATTCCTTTAGCCATTTGGTTGTAACACGCAATATAAAACAAATTATTGTGTGCCTGCCAAAGGAACAGGCTTGGGAGTGGTTGGAAAAATGAGAACAGGGTGGAGGAAGGTCACGCAGGTAGGAGGATTGGGTTTGGGACATCAAAGGCTCTTAAGAACTGTATTATGAACAACTCTGTGAGACATGGTATTTAAACAAAGTAAAAACATTAAAAAAATTTTCAGTGAAAACAAAAAGTTTTTTTTAGTTAATCACATAGTGGTGGAAGGTGCAATGGTGGTGGGATTGGTGTTGAAATACTGACTGTAATCATCATGAACAACTTTATAAAAATAAATTTTATTTTATAAAAATAAATTTTATTTTATAAAAATAAATTTTATTTTTATAAAATAAATTTTATTTATTTTTATAAAAATAAATTTTATTTTTATAAAAATAAATTTTTTAGATTAACTCCATAAAAAAGATTCAGGGGAAGGTCAGAGAAATGACACTTGCCTGGCACGCATCTGACCTCCATTCAATCCCCACCCCTGCATATGGTCCCCTGAGCACCATCGGGGGTCACTTTGAGCACAAAGTCAGAAACAGCTCCTGAGCACTGCTGGAGTATAAGCCCAAAACAAACAAAATGATCTGAGGAGAGCTTTTATTTTTTTCTTTTTGGGTCACACCCGGCGATGCGCAGGGGTTACTCCTGGCTCTGCACTGAGGAACTACCCTTGGCAGTGCTCAGGGGGACCATATGAGACGTGGGGAATCGAACTTGGGCCAGCCGCATGCAAGGCAAATGCCCTACCCACTGTACTATCACTCCAGTTCCCTAAAACACTATTCTTAACAGTATTGTAAACTCGGGGGTCTAAAATTCACTGTATCACTGTCATCCCATTGTTCATCGATTTGCTGGAGCAGGCACCAGGAACGTCTGCAAAAGGAGATCCTGCCGTGGGACTGGGATGGACCCAGGGCGAGTGGCAGAGCTACCCTGGCATCAAAATGGGACAATCTAGAGAGCATAAAAGCACAGTCTTGATGCAAACTGTTATGACTTAAGAGACAGGACCCCATGGGGAAGGACAAGCTGAACCAGCCTGAGGACTTAGTCTGGGATTTACGGTAAAAGCCTCGCTAGCCCTCGGAGCCCAGAGAACCAAGTTTGGAATCCCTATCTCGTACTGTGTTATATATGCCAGACACAGTAACAACAAAGTCTCCAATGGAGACGTTACTGGGCCCGCTCGAGCAAATCGACGATCAACGGGAGGGCCTTTACCTTTACCTTTACCTTTATCCTAATCACTAAGTATTAATAAGAAGTAAACTTAATTGCTTAATATTTACCAGTATCAAGAGAAAAGCAATACAGATGCCCCTGGGAGACAGCGTCTCCTTGGGTTATTGCCCAAGACAATTGCCGCCACAGAAACGCTTTACCTCTGGGAATGGTCAGTCACACGTTTGAACTGCAGCCCTATACTTAGCCCCCTCAGGTGTTCTGTAAGATGCGAACATCTCTACAGTCAACGGGCCATTTGGACCATTGGCCTGTGGTTCCCGTCTGTTCCTCTGCTGGGGTGCGGTTCTCAGCCACCAAATGCACGTGTCACGCACCCACACTTTGGTTTTTTTTCTTTTTTTTTATTTAATTTTTTATTATAAAATTGTTTAATAGTGAGACATCATGAGGTACAGTTGCAGACTTACACATTTTTGTGCTTGGGTTTCAATTATAAAGTAAAAAGTAAGTAAAGGCCCTCCCGTTGATCATCGATTTGCTCGAGCGGGCCCAGTAACGTCTCCATTGGAGACTTTGTTGTTACTGTGTCTGGCATATCGAATACTCTCGGTAGCTTGCCGGGCTCTCCGAGAGGGGCGGAGGAATCGAACTCGGGTCGGCCGTATTGGCTGCGTGCAAGGCAAACGCCCTACCCGCTGTGCTATCGCTATACAATGATCAAACACCCATCCCTCCACCAGTGCCCATTTCCCACCACCACGGATCCCAGTATCCCTCCCACCCCCCCGTCCGCCCCATCCCACCCTGTCTCTGTGGCAGGGCATTCCCCTCTGTTCTCTCTCTCCCTTTGGGTGTTGTGTTTTGCAAAAGAAACATTGAGTGGCAATCATGTTTGGTCTATAGTCTATTTTCAGCATGCTTCTCCCATCCTGGGAGGATCCTCCCAATACCTTTATTTGGTGCTCCCTTCTCTATCTGAGCTCCCTTTTCCCCTAGCATGTGTGGCTGGCCTCTAAGCCATGGAGCAAACCTCCTGGTACTAATCTCGGCCACTCTTGGGTGTTAGTCTCCTATTTTGTTACTTTATGTTCCCCAGATGAATGCAATCTTTCTATGTCTATCCCTCTCTTTCTGACTCATTTCGCTTAACATGATAATTTCCATGTTGTACCACTTGTATGTAAATTTCGTGACTTCATCTTTTCTAACAGCTACATAGTACTCCATTGTGTAAATGTACCAAAGTTTCTTTAACCAGTCATCTGTTCTCGGGCACTCAGTTTTTTTTCCAGATTCTGGCTATTGTAAAGAGTGCTGCAATGAACAGACAATTGCAGATGTCACTTCGACTATACTTTTTTGCCTCTCTGGGATATATTCCGAGGAGTGATATTGCTGGATCAAATGGGAGCTCAATTTCTAGTTTTTTGAGAATCATCCATACTGTTTTCCAAAAGGGCTGAACCAGTCGGCATTCCCACCAACAGTGAAGGAGTGTGTCCCTTTCTCACCACATCCGCGCCAGCACTGGTTGCTTTTGTTCTTGTGGATATGGGCCAGTCTCTGTGGTGTGAAGTGATATCTCATTGTGGTTTTGATCTGCGTCTCCCTGATGATTAATGATGTGGAGCATTTTCTCATGTGTCTTTTAGCCATTCGGATTTCTTCTTTGTCAAAGTTTCTATTCATTTCATCTCCCCACTTTTTGATGGGGTTGAATGTTTTCTTTTTGTGGAGTTGAACCAGTACTTTGTATATCCTTGAAATTAACCCCTTATCAGATGTGTAGTTGCCGAATATCCTTTCCCATTCTGTAGACTGTCTTTGTATTTTGGCCAC